TGGGAATAGCTCTTCCATTTTGTTTTGATACTGGTCCTCGCCATAATACCCTTCGTCAAGTCTCACTGGAGGGCATTGTCCTGAGCAGCCCATGCCTGCTCCTCCTCTTCCTCCTCATCCTCATCTATCCTCTGCCCCCCCTCGCTGCTGAGCCCCCGAAGAGCAGAAAGGTCCCCGGAGGCCCCCTGGAGCTCCCAGAGAGGCTTCCAGGGGGGCCCGACGAAGGAAACCACAAGGATGCGCAAGAGCAGAACAGCGTTCCAGCCTCGATGTGTTCGGAGGTCGGGTGCCTCGCGGAGGGGACAGACCTCTGCCCCGCCCGGGCAAAGGGGACCGAACTAGAACCAACCGGCGCGACCGGCGCGACCGGCGCGACCGGCACCGGCGCGACCAGCGCGATTGCGACCGGCGCGACCGGCGCGACCGGCGCAACCGGCGCGACCGGCACCGGCGCGACCGGCGCGACCGGCGCGACCGGCACCGGCGACCGGCGCGACCGGCGCGACCGGCGCGACCGGCGCACCCGGCGCGACCGGCGCGACCGGCGCGACCGGCACAACCGGCTCGACCGGCGCGACCGGCACCGGCGCGACCGGCGCGACCGGCACGATCAGCACGACCGGCGCGACCGGCGCGACCGGCGCGCCCGGCGCGCCCGGTTGGGGGCCTCCGGGGGGCCTCTTGGGGCCATCTTGGGGCCTCTTGGTGCCTCCTGGGCGCTTCGGGGGGCCATCTTGGAGGGCATGGATCCAAGAAGAGGGGAGCTTTAATGAGCGCTGCTCCCTCGGAAGGGCAAAATGAGCCCAAAACCTTAGTAAAATCAATAATATTGCCTTGACGGGAGGGGGGAGCTTGCATGAGCGCTGCCCCCTCAGAAGGGCCAAATGGAGCCAAAACCGTAGTAAAATCAATGTTTTTGGCTTCAAGGAAGAGGAGGGTACCTTATCTCCGTCCCCCCGTCGGGGCCAGAATCCTCGTGAGGGGTGTCGTTTTTTAGCCCTCCGAGGAGTCGAAAAAGACCCCCCCGGCGACCCGCGGAACACCCCCTCCAGGCCCAGGGGGAGGGGGTAGGGGGAGGGGTAAACCCCTCCCCGAAGGGGAAGAAGGGGGGTTGAGGACAGAGAGAGCTCGCTGAACCACTCACGCCCAAAGGGCTGGTGGGATTTGAGGATGTCTCGAGCGAAACGCTTGTTTTTCAGAATTTGTTGAGGATGTCTCGAGCGAAACGCTTGTTTTGTGTTATAGATTGTCCTCTCCTGGGGGCCTGAATTCTGAGGATCTCTCAAGTGGATTCGTGCCCTGGTCTTGAGGATGCCTCGAGCGAGACGCTTGGTTTCACGCCTCCAGGTGGCCCAGACAGATGTCTAGCATGAGGATTTGTTGAGGATGTCTCGAACCAGAGGCTTGTTTTCACGTGTCCAGGTCGCCCAGGCGGATGTCTAACATGAGCATTTGTTGAGGATGTCTCGAGCGAGACGCTTTGTTTGCACGTGTCCAGGTTGCCCAAGCGGATGTCTAGCATGAGGATGTGCTGACAACGTCTTGAGCGAAACGCGTGTTTTCACGTGTCCAGGTCGCCCAGGCACAGCACAGCCCTCGGCACGGTACATCAATATCGATACCTTTAGCATTGCAGCCTGGCATGTTGCTTGGCACGTTCCGCGGAGCGTCCCGTGGCGAGTCCCCCTGGCACGTCGCGCGGTGCACGTCCATTGGCACGTTCCGTAGCGCGTCCCCTTGGCACGTCCCACGGTGCGTGCCCATGGCACGTCCCCTGGCACGTCCCCTGGCGCGTCCCTTGGGACGTTCCGCGGCGCGTCCTCTTGGCATGTTCCCTCTGTCGATTAGTTCTGGGGCAGCTACCATCTGCTCAGGCAGCTCGAGCTTACGATCCAGATCAGTTCGGTGAGGACTCGGATGCCAGGGAGGACTCGATCCACAACGCTATATCTATATCTATAGAGAGAGAGAGAGAGAGAGAGAGCACAATCGCGGCATGACGCATCGCAGTTCAGCACGGCCCAGCACAGCACAGCCGTCGGCACGGTACATCAATATCGATACACTCAACTATACACTTTGGCACGAGAGAGAGAGAGAGCACAATCGCGGCATGACGCATCGCAGTTCAGCACGGCCCAGCACAGCACAGCCGTCGGCACGGTACATCAATATCGATACACTCAACTATACACTTTGGCACGTTCCTTGGCGCGTTCCGTGGCGAGTCCACCTGGCACGTCGCGCGGCGCGTCCCATGGCACGTCCCTCGGCACGTCCATTGGCACGTTCCGTAGCGCGTCCCCTTGGCACGTCCCACGGTGCGTCCCCATGGCACGTCCCCTGGCACGTCGCCTGGCGCGTCCCTTGGGACGTTCCGCGGCGCGTCCTCTTGGCATGTTCCCTCTGTCGATTAATTCTGGGGCAGCTACCATCCTGAGCAGCTCGAGCTTACGCTCCAGATCAGTTCGGTGAGGACTCGGATGCCAGGGAGGACTCGATCCACAACGCTATATAGAAAACAATCGCGGCATGGCACATCGCAGTTCAGCACGGCGTAGCACAGCACAGCCCTCGGCACAGTACATCATCATCGATACATTTAGCATTGCATGTGCCCGTCGCCCAATCAGGTGTCTTTGAAATGTTACAATGCCTTACATTTCTATATTCCTTTCCGGGTTCGTGGGTCGATCATGTTCTACTGCGCTGTCCCAGCGCGTTGGGCTGCCACGAGGCAGATCCTGCAGGACCAAGATTCAGCTGCGCGTGAGAGCGACCCTTCGCCAAATTGACCTTTGGTGCGGGCCCACCAGGGCTCCCTCAGGCACTGGCCCACGCGCTTGGATCTGGCCCCCTCCCTCCCCCGCAGCCCCCCCCCCAAGCTGCACACCAAAGGTCACCCCTACCTGCAGGGCCACGCCCTCCGTGCCACCGAGAGCTCATGGCAGCGTCTCCTTTCCCGATCCGCCCCAGGTTCTCCAGACACACATACCGCTACCCTTGCCTCGTTTGCGCCTCGTTGGGCCTCCTGGGAGGCCCTCGTCGCCACCGCTGGATTCGCCTCGGGAGTCTGGTCAGAAGGCACCCCAGGAGAGGGCCATGAAGCATCGGTATCGATACCGTCTGGTGCCTCAAATATCTTGCATGCCTCGCCCTGATGAGATTGGTAAGAGCGGTTTTCACAATCGTTGGCCACGATATGTTGGGGGGTCACGGCATTGTTGTGAGGTGTACGTTGATTTACCTCTCTCCTTCTTGTTCTATCTTCGAGTCGGCGACTACGAGGCGTCGGCGACTACGAGGCGTAGCTCGCGACGCACACATTCGAGATCCGATGTCAAAAAGGTTGCTCCTAATGTGGTTTCCTCGCTCTCGGCCCTCCTTTCCCCCTCCTCCATTCCTGCCCCCGCGGCCTCTCGCGTTTAATTTTGACGAGGGCCGGCAGAAGTCTCCACGGGCATGCTCCCGCAGAAAGGCACTCGGGATTACACGCACGCCCGAGCTGCTCAAGCATGTCGTTTTCCCCGCCGCTGCGTTCGCAGAAAGGCACCCGGGGTTGCACGCACACCCGGGCTGCTGACGCAGTTTTTCTGTTTACTCGACGCTTCCGCGCGCCATCCGCTGCAGGGCGGGGTGCGGCCGGGGACTTTTCCAGCGCCTTCTGCATGCGACTTCCGCACGCAGTACCGCATCGTTTCCTCTTGCTCCTCCCGCGGCGGTGCGCGCCGGCGCAGCCGACGGGCCGGCCCGGCGATGCGTCGGCGACTACGAGGCGTAGCTCGCGACGCACACATTCGAGATCCGATGTCAAAAAGGTTGCTCCTGATGTGGTATCCTCGCTCTCGGCCCTCCTTTCCCCCTCCTCCATTCCTGCCCCCGCGGCCTCTCGTGTTCTTCATTTTGACTAAGGCCGGCAGGAGTCTGCCCGGGCATCCCCCCCGCAGAAAGGCACGACATCACGACATCACGTCCTCATGACACCTCCCATGGGGCACCTACATGGCAAGTGCGATCTCTGTGATGGTGTCGCAACCGACCTCACTTACACACTACACCACGCCGCACCGCACCGCACCGCACCGCACCACACCGCACCGCACACACACACGCACACACACACACACCACAACACACCACACCACACCACACACACGCACACACCACACCACACACCACGCCACACAACATCACGCCACATCACACCGTACCCCACACCACGCCACGCCACGCCACGAGATCATGACACCACCCACGGGACACGACGGGAGAGCGACATGACGACTGTGATGTCTGTGTTGATATCACAATCGACGCGCCGCTGGCGCAGCCGGCGCCGCTGGCGCAGCCGGCGCAGCCGGCGCAACCAGCGCGACCGGCGCGACCGGCGCGACCGGCGCAACCGGCGCAACCGGCGCGACCGGCGCAGCTCGAAGAAGAAAAAGTGCCATAAACAAAAGTGTGGCGCTCCGCGCGGATTTCTTGGATCGGCGCTGGGGCCCCCTTGGCGGCGATTCCGGCGCCGCTCCTGGCGCGCTCCGCGCGCCAGGGGTGCAGCGCAGATCCAAGAATCCCGCGCGGAGCGCTCAAAGTTTATGTTTATGGCGTTGTTTGTTCCTCGATCCCCGCCCCGCGTGGGGCGGGCGAGGGCGGGAAGGCGGGGACGAGGGCGGCCTCCTCTGGCTGCTTCCGTCTCCTCCACCCCCTCGTCCTTGCAGGCAGCTCCCCCGCCATCGCACCACCTTGCATGAGGTGGATCCAGGAAGGGCTTTGCCTTCGAGGACCGAAGGGGCTGGCATCTCTTCCGCGGCGGAAGGAGGCGGAAGCGAAACACGGGCGGCTCTGCTGGCGGAAGCCAGAGGGGAAGCCCGCGGAAGGAGGCGGAAGCCCGCACCAGGGTTTCCGGAGCCGCCCACGGGAGGGGCGCCCGAGATTCCCTCACGGCTCTGTGCTCCTGAAGTTTGGGACTTCGAAGAGACGCCCGGGCGCAGGGGCCGCAGCTCTCAAGACGTGGCAACAGCCTGCGACATCCTTTCGCAGCTGGGCGGCGGGTCGTCTTTCCATTGTCGGTCTCGCCTTCTGCATCCATTTCGGGCTCCAGCGTTTCGCCGACTCGAGGCACGAGGGGCGCCAGCGCAGAGGCCACCGCCCCCTTCCCAGAGGCCACCGCCTCCACGATGGCCGCCTCGCTGCCCCAGAAGATGAACGCCAGCCTGGCCGCCGTGCAGGCCAGCGGCGCCCCGTGCCTCGAGCTGCCCACGCCGAAAGCCGGCGCCCGCGTGCACTTCGGCGGCCTCGTGCAGGAGCTGTCGCCCATGCACTGCTCGCAGGACGGCTCTCCGATGGGGGCGTCCACCGCGCCGGCGTCGCCGTGGTCGCCTGTCACGCCGATGGTCACCTCCTCGTCCGCCTTCTTCCCGAACAGCGTGGGCGCCGGCCGCCTCTGCTCCGGGATCGCGCAGGGCCCACGCGCGAGCTTCCAGGGCCTGGACGCGGCGCCTTCGCCCGCGCCGTCGCCGACTATGTCCCCCGGGGCGGCCATCCGCCGCAATGCGGACCGCCTGGGCATCCCGCTGAACCTCCAGGTGCAGGGCATCCTCGCGCCGATCCCCGTGGCGGCCCACGGGACCTGCGGGGACGAGGTGCTCGCGCCCTCGCCGCATTCGGGCTCGGCGCGCATGCAGGTGGAGCTGCCGCAGGAGGACCCCGCGCCCCAGCAGCCGGCGAAGGCCCCAGTGCACATCGCCGGCGTGGCGCGCCCCAGCGCCGGCCGTTTCTCTGGCGCCTGAGCCCGGAGGCCCTGCCGCACAGCGTGCTGCACGCTCGGTGGAGGCGCCGTGGGTCCTTAAGGTCGGCGGTGGCGCTCCCGCCAATGCGATCGCAGCGCCTTCTGCCGTTTGCTGTTTGAACGCCGCGCTGGCATTCAGCCAGTGCGCGTCCGCTCGTCTGGGCTCGCCGTTCTCTCCCACTTTGTCTGTTACAGCGGGGGGTCATGCCAAGAAACACCGTGCTTGCCTCCTGGATGCCCTGGGTCTCCTGGGTTTCGATGGTCTTGCGATGGAGAGCGCGACGTTCCCACAATAAAAACCGATGGACGTCCTGGGATCTTAGGGTTGGGTTTCTTGTGGCAGGTTTCTTGTGGACGGGCCTCCACTGTACGCGTGCCCTTCCCCCGCCACTTCCCGCTCCACCGCGCGCCCAGCACATTTGTTTTATTCTGCAGCCGTAGATGCAGTAAGCATGGTCCAGCCTTGGCTGCTTCACCAACGCTGGCGCTAATGACGTGCAGGCGGCAAGTGGGAGCACTGCTCTTGCTGCCGCTTCTGTTCCTCTCTACGTTCTTCTCTCGCTCTGTCTCTCTATCTCTCTCTTTCTCTTTTGCTCTCTCTCTCTCTCTGTCTCTACGGTGGAGGCGCTGGTTAAGGAATGTGCACAGGAGGCTTCAGGAGGCTTCAAACCCTGGCCTTACCCTGGGGGGGTCCTTCTCTGATGAGGGTGGCGGTGAGATCCATGGCCAATCTACGATCGAAGTTCCACTGGCTTCGAGACCCTGAATTCCTTATCCACTGGTTTCTTTTCAAATGCCCCCACCGTATATTTTGTATTATCTTTCTATCTCTCTCGTTTATTATTTCTCTCTCTCTCTCTCTCTCTCTTCCTCTCTCTCCCTCTCTCTCTCTCGTACATATCTGAAGAGCTTCGCCCTCTGCCGCCAGCCCCCCTATTACCAGTGCGGGCGGCTGCGCGGGGGTCTCCTTGGGGCCTCTCGGGGGTCTCCTTGGGGTCTCTTGGGGGCCCCTTGGGGGTCTCACTGGGGCATCTTGGGGGTCTCCTCGGGGCTTCTTGGAAGCAATATTTTGGATCTCATTGGGGCCTCTTGGGGGCCTCTTGGGGCCTCTGGGAACCTTGGGGCCTTCTGGGGCCCTCTCGGGGCAGAAAGGTCGAGTTTTTAGTTCGTGGACTCCCTCTTGGGCCTCTCTTGGGACCGTCTTATGGCCCTTTTGGGCCGTCTGGGGCGCCTCTTGGACTGTCTTGGGGCCCTCTTCGGCCGTCTTGGGGCCGTCTTGGGGGCCTCTTGGGCCGTCATGGGGGCTTCTAGGGCCGTCGTGGGGCGATCTTGGGAACCTTTTGGTCCGTCTCGGAGCGTCGGAAAGCCGAAAAGGCGAGAATGCCAAAAGCCTTCAAAAACGATGGGAAAATCGTTGATGTTTGCTTCGTGGGACCCTCTTGGGAGGCCTCTTGGAGGCCTCTTGGGCCGTCTTGGGAGCATCTTGGGCCATCTCGGGGCCATCGTGGGACATTTTGGGGTCATCTTGGGCCGTCTTGGCCTCCTGAGGCTCTCTTCGGAGCGTCGTCGGGCAATCTTGGAGGCCTCTCGGGCCGTTCTGGCCACACGGTGGCGTCACCATGAGAATCCTGGGGTGGCCCGGAGCAGCCTGGATTTGAGGTTCCCCCCCCCCCGTTGGTTGTGTAGTAACGCGGCGGGGCCCCTTAGCAGACAGTGAACAGGAGGCAGGAAACAGGACTGGAGAGACAAAAGGCCAAGCAACACATGACAGCACATAACACATGACAGCAGACCGCCGCACACACCTTCGCAGCCTTGCGCCCTGGGATGGGGGCAGGATGTATGCATTCAATTTTCTGACTCTACCTCTCAACCGCCGACCCTGCTATGCCCCCGCACTCCCATTCCGCCCCTGCTGCTAGAGAGCATCATTACTAATTAGACGAATCAGCCGATTTCGGACGGCCTTCACTGCGGGCGCGCGCCACGCGCCAGCGCGCATGCGCGCCAGCAAGACATTCGAAAAAACATGCATTCGACACAGCGCCACGCACACTATTATTCAACGCTTCCAGCTGTTACAAATATAAGGGAGAGTGACTTTCAACATGAGGCTCTCGCCTTGGTACCACTCACATGCGTCTTGTGAGCTTGCAACAGTTACGCTAATGGAAGGCGGCTCGTTTTCACAGTGGGGCTCGCGCTCCAGATCCCCCAGGTATCTAACTCACTAAATCGGTATAATATGCCAAGGTGCCTGGGGCCCGGGCCCCGGGCTGGCACACCCACCAGGAGGTCCCACCACCACCCCCTCGTTTAAGAGCCCCCCCCCGCCCCCCCCCTTCTGGGGCCTCCCGGGCCTCCCCCTGGCTGCCCAGAGCAAGTCCGGGAGCACGGCTCGGCGACGATGGCGGAGCAGTAGGGCCCAAGACGCCCCAAGATGGCCTCAAGATTGCCGCGAAGGCTCGAAGATGCCCCCGAAGAGGGCCCCAGATGACCAAAGTTGCTTCAATCCCGTAGGAGAACGCACATGGTCAGCATATTCGTTATGGTAGGTATCAACACCGTCCAAGACGGCCCAAGAGGCCTCCGAGATGGCCCAAGATGCCACCAAATCAGCCCCCAAGAGGCGCCCATGACGGCCCAAGAGGGATAATTCAAATTGGCCACAAGTGGGCCCCCGAGGCCAACAGAGGCTCCCAAACGCCCCCTAAGAGGCAACGAGACGCCCGTGAAGCATGCCAAGAGACCCCGAGTTCCAGGTATCCAAGAAGCCGTGGCGGTATGGGCGAAGGCCATAGATGAGCAAGCAATTGGACTGGCGACGGAGCAATTCTTGTGCAGCCAGGAGGGGTTTTGAACTCCTTGTCAAGCGCGATTCGCGTGAAGGGTGTGCCGAATAATTCAGATGCGCCCGTGCGAGCACGCCCGCTGAGGCCGGAGGTGCAGCTCCTCTGGGCACGACCCGTAGGAGGCATGTTCCGAAATGGGCGTGGGAACGCCATGCGAAGCGGCCCATTGGTGCCAAGGGTGGAGCTCCTTTTGGGGCATGATTCGCGTGATGGGTACGCCAACATGGGCGGGGGGGGGGCGTTGTACGGACCGTGTCTCTGGGCATGTAGGTGGTGCTCTGCGTGGGCACGATAACGCACGATGGGGTGTGCCGCAATGGCGGGAGAGGACGCAACGCGAACCATGCCCCTGGGGACGTAGGCAGAGATCCCTGTGGGCCACGATCCGTGTGTGAGGTGTGCAGAATTGTGCGGGGCGACGCTACAATGAAGTTCTCTCTGGTGCCGCACATGCACTTGCTTGCGGGGCACGATCCGCGTGAGGGGCGTGCCACTATGCGAACCTTGTCTCCGGGGGACGTAGGTGGAGCTCTTTGTGAGGCGCGATCACTGTGAGGGGTGTTCTGACATGGGTGGGGCAGGCTAAATCAAGCCTGTCTCTGTGGCCGTTAGCGGAGCTCCCTGAGGGGGCACGATCCGTGCGACCAGTGTGCCGAAGTGGGGCTCTGGCTTTGGCGCCGCGTACGCTCATCTTCAAAAGCCATCAGTTACATGGAGGGCGGACGCCCGTGTCGCGGTATCTTAAAATAGCAGATCTTACATGTTTTGGACAACTATCTTTCCCAACAGGGTATCGTAATGAACCCAGCGCGACCCCGATTAGAAGAGTGTTGCCCCAACGGCGTTGCTTAGAATTGTTTGGCATTGCATTGATGTGCATTTTATTGTATTGCCGGGCATTCCTTTGCATTGCTTAGTGTTGCTTAGACTATCCTGGCGAAGGACCCAACCATATGCAGCACTGGGACCTTCGGTGGAGCTCCTTATGGGGCCACGAAGCGCTGTACTGGGTGGGTGATACGCATGGAGGAAGGAGGATGGGGCCACGAAACGCTGTACTGCGTGTGCGGGACGCATGCGGACGGTAGCACTTGGACCTTCGGTAGGGCTCCCTATGGGGCCACGAAACGCTACACTGGGTGTGCGGGACGCATGCGGACGGTAGCACTGGGACCTTCGGTGGAGCACCTTATGGGGCCACGAAGCGCTGTACTGGGTGGGTGATACGCAGGGAGGAAGGAGGATGGGGCCACGAAACGCTGTACTGTCTGTGCGGGGCGCATGCGGACGGCAGCACTGGGACCTTTGGTGGAGCTCCCTATGGGGCTACGAAGCGCGGTACTGGGTGGGTGAAACGCAGGGAGGAAGGAGGAGGGAGGAGGGGGAGGAGGAGAAGGAGGAGGAGGAGGAGGAGGAGAACGCGGGGACCGTTATTTCAAAACGAGCACCCAACACCACAGAATGGTTGGGAAATAGAAGATCGAACCTGCTTTGAACAAATATCTTTCCCAACAGGGTCTTGTAATGAACCCAGCCCGACCCCAATTAGAGGAGTGTTCCCGGAGCGGCGTTGCTTAGAATTGTTTGGCATTGCACGGATGTGCATTTTGTTGGTTTGCCCGGCTTTGTTTTGCATTGCTTAGTTCTGATTGGCATTGTTTGATAATGTTTGGCAGTGCTTGCCATTGCTTGGCATTGCTTTGCATTGCTTGGCGCTGCTTGGCGTTGGCATGACTTAGCGTTGCTTGGCATTGCTTGGCGTTTCGTGGCGTTGCTTGGCATTGTTTGGCGTTGCTCTGCACGGCTTGGCATTGCTTGGCATTGCTTGGCATTACTTTGCATTGCTTGGCGCTGCTTGGCGCTGCTTGGTGTTGCTTGGCACTGCTTGCCATTGCGTGGCAGTGCTTTGCATTGCTTTGATCTGCTTGGCGTTGCTTGACGTTGCCTGGCGATGCCTGGCACTGCTGGGAAACAAGACCGACAACCAGTGCGGGGAACCCGAGGAACCTCCGAGGAACGGGCAATGTAACAATAGGAGGCACGGGGGGCAAGGAAGCAGAGGAACCCGGTGAACCCGAGGAACCTCCAGGAAACGGGAAGCGTAACAACAGGAGGTAGCGGAGGCGGGGAAACCGAGGAACCCGAGGAGCCCGAGGAACCGCCGAGCAACGGGCAAAGTAACAATAGCAGGCACCAACATTTCACCAAGTAAGAAGCCCTTAGGCTAGCCAAGTTAGGGGGACGAACAACGACAGAAGCATATCCGAGAAATCCACGCGGACCTCCGAGTGCTTATACTGATGTCATTGCTCGTTCCCCTACTAATTGGGGAAAGAGCAGCTCAGGGGCTGTGGTCGTCTTGCGGCCCTCTCGGGGGCCTCTTGGGCAGCCTTGCTCACCAGGCGCGTTCCCCTACTCGCAAAGTGCCTACTCGCAACCGTCCGGAAAAATTATCCTGGCGAAGGACCCAACCATATGCAGTTGTGGGTACCGCAATTGTGAATATCTCCTTCTGTGAAGCTCCGTATGGGGCCACGAAGCGCTGCACTGGGTGGGGGGGGAGCGCATGCGGGCGGTAGCACTGTGGCCGTCTGTGGAGCTCCCTATGGGGCCACGAAACGTTGTACTGGGTATGTGCAATGCCAAAGTGTGTTTCCGGGACGCATGCGGGCGGTCCCACTGGAGGCTTTGGTGAAGCTCCCTATGGGGCCACGAAGCGCTGCACTGGGGGGGGGGAACGCATGCGGGCGGTAACACTGGGGCCGTCAGTGGAGCTCCCTATGGGGCCACGAAACGCTACACTGTGTTTGCGAAAATGCCAAATTGCGTTTCCGGGACGCATGCGGACGGTCCCACTGGGGGCTTCGGTGGAGCTTCCTATGGGGCCACGAAACGTTGTACTGGATGGGTGAAAATGCCAAATTGGGCTTCCGGGACGCATGCGGACGGTAGGTAGCACTGGGGGCTTCGGTGGAGCTTCCTGTGGGGCCACGAAACGTTGTACTGGGTATGTGAAATGCCAAATTGGGCTTCGGGAGCGCATGCGGCCGGTCCCTCTGGGGGCTTCTGTGGAGCTCCCCATGGGGCCACGAAACGTCGTACTGGGTAGGCGAAAATGCCAAGTTGGGTTTCCGGGACGCATGCAGGCGGTCCCATTGGGAGTTTCGGTGGAGCTCCCTATGGGGCCACGAAGCGGTGTATTGGGTGGGTGAAAATGCCAAATTGGGCTTCAGGGACGCATGCGGACGGTAGCATTGGGAGCTTCGGTGGGGTTCCCTATGGGGCCACGAAACGCTGTTCTGGGTGTGCGGGACGCATGCGGACGTTAGCACTGGGATTTTCGGTGGGGCTCCCTATGGGGCCACGAAACGCTACACTGGGTGTGCGGGACGCATGCGGACGGCAGCACTGGGACCTTTAGTGGAGCTCCCTATGGGGCCACGAAGCATTGTACTGGGTGGGTGAAACGCAGGGAGGAAGGAGGATGGGGCCACGTAACGTTGTACTGGATGTGCGGGACGCATGCGGACGGTAGCATTGTGACTTTCGGTGGAGCTCCTTATGGGGCCACGAAGCGGTGTATTGGGTGGGTGAAACGCAGGGAGGAAGGAGAAGGGAGGAGGAGGAGAAGGAGGAGGAGGAAGAGAACGCTGGGACCGTTATGTCATTAGCCTGGCGAAGGACCCAACCATATGCAGTTGTGAGCACCTTCGTTGTATGCACCGCATTAGGGCCACGAAAAGTGTGAGGGGTGTGCAAAAAATTGCCCGGTGGGCGCATGCGAAAGCAGCCATTTGGCGGGCCGTCGGTGGAATTACCAATGGGGCCAGGAAAACCCGTGAGAGGTGTACCTAAATAGGTGCGGTGGGCGCATGCGAACGCAGCCATTGGAGCCGTGCCGAAAAATGTGCGGTGGGCGCATGCGAACGCAGCCACTGGCGCCTTCGGTGGAGCTCCCTATGGGGTCACGAACGGCGTGAGGGGTGTGCCGAAACATGCGTGGGTGACGCATGCGGGCGGTGGCACTGGGTCCTTCGGTGGAGCTCCCTATGGGGCCACGAAACGTGTCAGGGGTGTGACGAAATTTGTGTGGGTGACGCATGCGGGCAGTGACACTGGGGCCTTCGGTGGAGCTCCCTATGGGGCCACGAAACGTGTGAGTGGTGTGCCGAAATGGATGCGGTTAACGCATGCTTGCGGTGGCACTGGGGCCGTCAGTGGAGTTCCTTATGGGGCCACGAAACGTGTGAGCGGTGTGCCGAAATGGGTGTGGCCTTCGGTGGGGCTCCCTATGGGGCCACGAAACGTGTGAGGGGTGTGCCGAAATGGGTGTGGGTGACGCTTGCGGGCGGTGGTACTGTGGCCTTCAGTAAAGCTCCCTATGGGGCCACGAAACGTGTGAGGTGTGTGCCGAAACGTGCGTGGGTAACGCATGCGGGCGGTGGCACTGGGGCCTTCGGTGGGGCTCCCTATGGGGCCACCAAACATGCGAGGGGTGTGCCGAAATGGGTGGGGGTAACGCATGCGAGCGGTGGCAGTGGGGCCGTCAGTGGAGCTCCTTGTGGGGCCACGAAACGTGTGAGGGGTGTCCCGAAATGTGTGTGGGTAACGCATGCGGGCGGTGGCATTGGGGCCTTCGGTGGAGCTCTCTATGGGGCCACGAAACGTGTGAGGGGTATGCCGAAATGTGTATGGGTAACGCATGCGGACGGTGGCATTGGGGCCTTCGGTGGAGCTCCTTATGGGGCCACGAAACGTGTGAGGGGTGTGCCGAAATGGGTGTGGGTAACGCATGCGGGCGGTGGCACTGGGGCCTTCGGTGGAGCTCCCTATGGGGCCACGAAACGTGTGAGGGGTGTGCCGAAATGGGTGTGGGTAACGCATGCGGGCGGTGGCACTGGGGCCTTCGGTGGAGCTCCTTATGGGGCCACGAAACGTGTGAGGGGTGTGCCGAAATGGGTGTGGGTAACGCATGCGGGCGGTGGCATTGGGACCTTCGGTGGGGCTCCCTATGGGGCCACGAAGCGTTGTACTGGGCGGGCGAAACGCAAGGAGGAAAGAGGGGGAGGAGGAGGGAGGAGGAGGAAGGAAGAAAGGAAGGAGGAAGGAACGCGGGGACCGTCTCTTCAAAACGAGGACCCAACACCACAGGATGGTAGGGAAAAACGATGACCCAACACCACAGGATGGTTGGGAAACATGTTTTTCCTTTGTGCACTGTATCGTAAATCCCCCCAGCGGATCCAGGCCGTTTGCGAGTAGCTACTTTGCGAGTAGTGGAACGCGCTTGTCGACTTACGGCGCCGCTCGCCCAGCAGACGCATCTGGAAGCTGTCGCGAGAGCCTCGGGGGCGATCATAAGGGATGTCTCGGTCGCTGTCGGGCCGTCTTGGGGCCTTCTTGGCGCGATCGTTTGGACCTCTTGGGAGCCACTTTGTGGCGCTGTGGCCCACTCGTGGGGCCCTTGGTGACCTCCTTGGTGTGCCTTGAGGCTATGTTAGACCCTCGCAGGCTGCGGGAGCCCGAAAGGGTGAGAAAGTTGAAACCGTCCAAACAGTTAATGCAGCCAGCGGTTTGGGCGTCTTCAGGCTGTCCTGGAAAGCGAAAGTTTCGGGCCCCCTCCAGGCCATCTTGGCCGTATTGGAAGCGTATGGGGCGAAGTGGGAGTTTTCTTGGGACCTTCGTGTTGTCTTGGAGGCCACCTATGACCGTCTTGGACCGCCTGGGGCCGTCTTGAGGAACATCTTGGGCCATGTTGGCTGGCTTGGAGGCGAGTTGTTTTGATGTTAGGTGGTGTGTGCGGTGGCGGCTGACGGGCCGAGAGCCACAAAGAATACTTCGGAAGGGCCAGCCGTGTTATAACATGTGGCAGGCCGCGCATCCCTCTTGCAAGCAACAGGGAGGCGACGGATCGAAGACGCCTACGGCGAGTCACCGCCGCCCCCTGCCTTTTGGGGAACGCCTACGTGTCCAACCGCTGGGGAGAATTTGGGCACGCGTTTGATCTGCGTGCTCGCCGAACCGGGGCCTCTGGGGGCATTTGCCGAGCCTCCTGGGCCGTCTTGGGGATCACCTTTGGGCGTCCAGTGGTTTTCCTGTGCCGTCGCCAAGCCGTCTTGGGGCTTTGAAGGGCAGAACCCGCCCTCCTGGGAGCTAAAAGGGTGGCCCATGGATCGCTCGAACATGAAGATAGGGGCCACAGGCGTCGAAAAGAACCACGAGACGCGTTGGAAGGTCAACGATACCCCCCAGATGTCCCAAGAGGGCCCGAAAGCTTTCCGAATTCGCCCTCAGACGGCCCAAGAAGCCCCCAAGACTCCCAAGGGAAGTTTCGAAGGAGCGCAGTCTATGCCGAACGCTTTGAACTACAACCAGGGCTTGTTGGAAGCTGAGCGCACGCGAAGCGCGCGCGCGTGGTTCCTGCAACCAGATGCGCGCGACAGCTGCACAGATGAAGCGTGGCTCTTTGAAGCATGCGTGTGCCGCTTGAGACTGGCGAGAACATGATGGCCCAACGCTTCCAAGTACCAACATCTGCTCGAGCACGGCCGTCAAGGACCCAGGAGGTCCCACAGGAGTTTCCAAAGGCCCCAAGAGAGCCTTCCAGGCAACCTCAGAGGTCCCCGCAAGCATCGCGCCAAGACGGCTCGATACTGAAACCCTTGCCTCAGCAATTGCCGCAAGCACCCGCGGCGGAACATTCAAGCAAACAGACAAACCAAGACGTCCCGAGAGGCCTCGAAACGTCAGGATAAATTCGCTCGAAGAGAGCCGATCCGAGGCGGGAATGTATGCATGACCACCGCCTGGAGGGTCAGTTTTCGGAGCCTCGGCAGGCGGTGGATGTGGACATATTCGGGCCCCCGGGGGCCGAAATATATTCATGCACCAGGACGTCCGTTCCCAAGCAGTGATATGGATAAATCCCCGCCTCGCAGCCGAGAGGCCTCAGATAGCGAATGTGTATGAAACATTGCTGTGTTCATGCTTTTCGTTTCCGCGGTTTGGGGGGCTGAACATTGCTTCGTGGGCCCCCAGAAATTTTCGAGAGAATCCGCTAGGCTTCCAACGAGCGCCCTGGGCGGCTCACGAAGCCCGAGGGCCCCAAAAAGCGTCAGCACAGGCCCAATGTGGAAAGAGCGCGCGAACAATAGCCGTTTGGACACAAGCCTTGTTGCCAGAGCGCTTGAACAGAAAGTGGGACGCCATCCTAGCAATTGCATTGTCATGCTTCAGCAGACGCAGATGTCGCCGCGGATCGCTTTCCAGGGCGGCCAGGAGACCACCTACAGGAGTGCGAATACAGCGGTGGAGGACCAGTCGAGCATGGATTGCGAGACCCTCATCTTCGTGGACATCGACGGGGTGTTGAACGTCGGGGTCCTCGACTCGGAGGGCGCCCATCTGTCATTCAGCGAGGACAACGCCAAGCGCGCGCTGGCGAGCTGGGCAAGGAGGGCCAGCATGTCGGAGTCGAGACGCATCGCGGTTGCCCAACACACGTAAGAGGGACCCTTCGCCGGAGGGCCCTCTGGTGCGGGCCCGCCAGGGTCCCCCGATCGCCGGACGCGATGCGGTAGATGCGACAGCAGCGTCTTGCGCGCTCGGGCTCGGCCGCCCCGCGGCCCCCCCTTCAGAGCCGCGCAGCAAAGGGTCACTCCTGCCCAGCCGGGGTCACTCCTGCGTGCAGCCCAGGTCGAGCGCATCGCCTCGACATACAGCCGCGTGGCGGAGCCGCACGAGCGCGCACCCCGCACGAGGCTGCTGTCCTCCCCCGGCACGGGCCTCAGCGACTTCCTGGTGGGGCGCCTGGCGCGGCTCCTCGAGGCGGCAGGACCACGGTGCCAGGTCGTGCTGTCGTCCACCTGGCGCATGCCCAAGCTCGGCGGCGAGCGAGGGGGGAAGCGAGAAGGAGAAGGCCTTCTCAGAAGGCGGCGGGGTTTCTCGGATCGGAGGCCAACAAGCATACACCGCCACCGAGCTCGTGGGGTCAGAAGATGCGGGGCGAGGGAATGGAGGAGGAATGGGGCGAGGCAGAGGGCGGGGAGTCGCACGTGGACCACGAGAGGCCAGAGTGGGAAAAGGAGGGAAGGCGGACTTGGAAAGGGGCCCACCAGAAGGCTCCAAGAGGGCCTCGAGAAGGCCTTTTTCTGGATGTTCTTGGCGCTGCGGTTCGGAAGGCCTCCCGGGAGCATCTGGGAGAGGCCCTTTTAGGGTTCTCTCGAGCCCTCTTGGAGCTATACCTAGGCCCTCCGAGGGTCTCGAGCGGAACCCTGGGACCCAGGAGCGACTCAAGAGGAGACAAGATGACGTCATGCGAGAGGACTCTCTTTGGACGATTTCGTGTTGACTCCTCTTGAGCCTCTGTTGGGGCCCTCCGAGCCCCTCCCCCAGCGTCGTCCCAGAGGGCCCCGAGAGGGTCGCAAGAGGGCGCCAGCTGAGCCAAAAACAATCTCACGCGAGAGGGCAACTGCGTAATTTCATGATGGCTCCTGTTGGGCCCCTCTTGGGGCCCTGGAGTGCCGTCTTGGAGGGTCCGAGATTCGAAACCCGGGAACCTGGCCGCGTGCCGAAATTGGCATAACATTTTCATATGGTCCTTCAATATCCGCCAGGACCCATTCGGTGCAAGCATTGGTTGGGGAGTCGATGTTTCATGTTCTCCCCTTCACGACCGCCCCGTAATTCCCAAGCCTTCCTCAGGGATTGCTGACGCTATCCGGCCAACTGTCCTGATCCAGAGACTTGAATTTCAAAGTTGTACCTTCTCCCCCCGAGTCCCATTCCGAAAGCGCGCGGAAATTCCCCCCCCCCGCCGATCTAGAGGGGGATAACCATTCCCCTACTCGGAGAAGGTCTTCACGCCCCAGGAAGATTCTTCGTCCCCCGTCTACAGGTCATTGTTGCCAAAGAAATGCCGGGGCGCTCGAGTGAACGAGTTGCTCGCGCCAGCGCGGGGGTCCCACTGGTGAGCTGAGTCTAGTTATTTCCTTTTCCCGACCACCAGCCCTCTCTTGAAGCCCTCCTGGGCTTCTTGGGGGGCCTCCCAGGGCTTCCTCAGGCCCCTCGGAAAGCTTCGGGAGAGTTCCAGAAAGGCTCGAGAGAGCCCTAAGAGGCCCCCTCTCAGATGCCCCCAGGGAGCCTTCCGAAACGAAGTGCCGGGAGCGTCTAGGAGGTGTTTTCTTGGGGCCTTTTTGGGGTGTCTTGGATGCCTCCCAGGGCTTCCTCGGGATCTTTCGGAGGGCCTCAGGTGAGCTCCAAGAAGGCCCGAGTGAAGCCCAAGAAAGCCCCTCCTAGATTTCCAGGAAGCCTTTTCGAAACGTGTTGCCGGGAGCATCTAGGAGGGGCCATCTCGAGGCCCTCTCGAGGCTTTTTTGCAGCCCTCTTGAAGCACTCTGGGTACTCTTCGGGGCCTTCTCGGGGCCTCCTCGAGACGTCGGGGCGGCCCCAGGAGGGCCCCGAGAAGGCTGAAGAGAGCCCCCAGAAGGATTTTAGAGTTGTTACTTCCAGCGCCCGTGAAAGTGACAATTCCCAGGGCCCTGTTGAGGCACTCCTGGGGCCATCTGGAGGCCATGCTGGCTTCCGCAGGCGCGCCCCTTGGAAGCGCAATCCCAGATTTCCACCGCGGGTATACCAGAACCGTGTGAGCCTTTGTCTGTCTTCAGTATACACAAATCTTTCGGTTGGGCGTGCATTCCATTTTACAGGCGACCCGCGTGGAAACGGCCGTCGTCAACGCCAGATCCGACCCTTGCCCAGCCCCCAACCCCCAGCAGGCTTGCAAGACCTTTTGGGTAGGGACGCCTTCCCCAGCATTGGGCCGCTTGGAAACCGTTGCGCGCTTATCGGGGCCTTCAAGGCCTCCTCGGGACCTCGCTCGGGAGAGCTTCAGGAGGGCCCCAAGAAGCCTCGAGAGGGCCCTGGGAGGCACCTTAGAGATGTCACTTCGGGCGCCCGTGGAAGTGGCAACTCCTAGGCCTCTCTTGAGGCCCTCTTGGGGCCTCTCTTGAGGCACCTCGGGGGCTCCTGGAAGGCCTCGAAAGGGGACCAAAGAGGTTCCGAAACATCGCCATGTCTTTACACGCTTCGCTCGAACACCTGATTGGGGTTTTCTCCAGTGTGATCTGGAATCGAGGACGAGAGTTGGCAGAGGCTGTCCCTCGTGCGTGGGGGTCACTGCAGCAATCGGTGTCCCTCGTGCGTGAAAGGAGGGGTTGTAACAAAAACTCCCCCTCGTGCGTGAGCGTGGATTGTAGCAAAAAAGGGTCTCTGGTGCCCGGGGGGCGATGTAACAAAACGGACCCTACTGCATGACGGGGGGATTGTAACACGAAGTGTTCCTCGCACGGGAGGGAGGACTCCAGTGAAAGCGGTCTCTCGTTCATGGTGGGGGGAGGTTGTATCAAAGTCGGGCCGCCGCGAGTGAGAGAGGATTGTGGCAAGAAGTGTCTCTTAGTGGCGGGGGGTCTGCAGAAATATTGCCTCTCGTTCACGAAGTGGTGGAATGCAGCGAAGGTAGAACTTCGTACATGAGGGTGCGCGATGTGAAACTGCACTCCTCTGTCACGAGGTAGATTGTAGCGAAGCTGTTTATTGTACATGAGCGGCATTGTAGTAAAGACGTCTCCTCGCGCATCCAGTGCTAGATTGAAGCAAAAACAGTCACCCGTGCATGAGGAGGATAGCAACAACAGCTCTTCGCATGTTGGGCGGGATGACACCAACAACGTTTCTTTTGTCTACGAAGGAGGGTTAGCAACATTGCATTTTGTGCATGAGGGGGATTGTCGCAATCACGTTCCCTTGTGCGTGAGAGGGCGCTGAGGCGAGAGCACAGAAATCGTGCATCCGGGGGGATTGTAGCAAAAGCGCTCGTGAAGCGGACTTCGGTCCCCTCGTGCATGATGGGGGATTGTAGCAAAAACGGCCCGTCGTGCATGACTGAAGCAGGGCACCCTGGTAATTAATGGAACCCTCTCGGAAACCTCTCGCGGCCTCGGGAGGGTTTTCATGGGGCCTTCTAGGGCCGTCTTAGGGAGGGCGCGCCGCTAGATCTCCCCAAGGGGGGGAGAGTTGGGACCCCCCCCCCCCTTCCCCGATCCGTCGTCGGGGACCCCCCCCCCTTCCTCCCCTTTTCCTGGCTTCTCGTCGGAGAACCCCCCCTCCCCTCCCCCCCCTTTCCCAGTTCGTCGTCGGGAAACCCCTCCCCCTTCCCCCCCTTTCAAAGGGGGGTGGGTTCCGGACCCCCCACTTCCCCCCCTTTGGCCGCCAAATTCAGCCCCCCCCCCCCTTTCGCCACAGCGCCCCCTGGCCCTGGAACCCGAACCCTACCACCCGCAGCACTACCACCCCGACCACCCGTAAACCTAACCTCAGACCCCAACCCTAGCCCCAAACAGCACTCAGTATTCACTTTTTACTACTCACTACCCACTACTCACGACTCGCTGCTCACTATTCATTTATCATTATTCACTGCTCGCGACTCACTACTCACTACCCACTGTTCACTACCCACTACCTATTACTCAGTCTTCACTATGCACTACTCACTACCTTCACTTTACTATTCATTACCTATACGACCACCCTTCGGGTGATCAGGAGGTTCGGGGGGGAGGAACCAACGTCTCACTCTATCGGTCTCACTATCGATCTCACGATCGATCTCACTATCGGTCTCGCTCGATCGATCTCACTTTATCGATATCACAATCGATATCGCTCGATCTATTTCATCCGGTCGATCTCACAATCGATCGCACTATCGATTCGCTAGCGATTTCACCATCGATTTCAAACTCGGTTTCACCATCGATTTTACTATCGATACCACAATCGATCTCACAATCAACGCCATCATTACCATCATCAACATCACCGTCTTCAACGTCATCAACATCATCACCACCGTGACACCATCATCATCATCAACACCTCAGCACCATCATCAACAACATCATCATCAGCACCATCATCATCACCGGGACACCATCATCGTCACCATCACCATCAACATCGTCATCACCGGGACACCACCATCATCATCATCATCATCATCGGAACACCAGCATCATCATCACATCATCATCATTAACAACATCATGAACATTTGCTTACCATCATCACCAGCAACGTCATCATCTGCATCAACATCATCATCGGGACACCACCATCATCGTCACGATCCTCATCATCACCAGCATCACCATCGGTACACCATTATCATCACCAACATCTGCATCATCATCGGCCCACCATCATCGAAATCATCATAATCACCTCATCATCGTCCTCATTATCAACATCAACGTCATCATCATCGGGACACCATCTGTGGGAGACGTCCCAGGCCAGGCCGGTGGCGACACCTGCAGACTCCTCTCTGTGCGTGACCCTCAAGGCGCACGCGTCTCTGCGGGGCGTCCTGCGGCCATGTGCCCTATGCAGCCGCCATCCCGCAGGGGGTGGGTATAGAAGACTGGTAGCATTGCCCGATCGCCCCTCTCACAGGTTATCAGCCGCTTTGCCAGAGTTGCGAGACCGACGCTGTCAGTCTCTGAGGGTGTGTCCTACGTCATTATTTCATTTGGCCTTCGGCGAACTTCGGAGGACGGCGCGATTGCTTCAGATGATGTGACGACTCTCTTTGCCCATTATTTATGCGCTTTGTGATCCATCGTTGATTGTCTCTGTTGGAAGCTGATCTGGCGTCCTCCTCGCCGGCGGCAACACCTGCTGCGCCTTCGTCGCTTTGGCTGGGCGCAGCTGCACATTGCTGTCACAGAGCTTCCAACGCGACTGAGACTTCTCGATGCGTCCCTCATTATCCAGCTCTCTATTCCATTCTCTCACGTCGTTTTGCGTCGGGGTGGGGCGCCGCCGCAGGTGCACTTCGACGCCCTCCTCGTCTCGCTTTCTGTTGTCCTTCCCCATATCCATCCATCCATTGCTTCTCCCTTCCCACCCATGCGCCCTTCTTTTCTTCCTTTCACGCTTATGAGTGTGCATGTTGTCACCGTGCCCACATTCATTTCGGAGCGATCGCTGCACGCCGTGCAATGTCGACCAGTTGTCTCTCCCTTGCGCCCGTCTTCTTTCTCCTTTGCGCCTCTGTATGTGCGCGCGCGGAATCCCAGCGCGCTGGCAGAGTGACGTGTTGGACGGGCCCAGACCGGCCGGCTGGCCTCCCTTCCTTCGGTTTACGATTTCGCCCCCATCGCTGACAGGTTGCAGGATGTTGGACGGCGGCGGACCACGCGTCGGACAAGCATTTCGTTCTCCGCATCGTGAAGAGTAGCCAGCGCGGCGGGAGCGCCCTGTTTACACGCCACGGGGCTCTGCGGTGGCGGGGCATTTGCTATATGTCAACTTCCCCAGTGCTCTGAAGCAGAGACAGTAAGTCACATCTCGGAATAGCGCTGCTCGAACAGCGCCCAGGAGTCAGGTTACTCCTCTCGTTCCCCCTCTCCCTGCGCGACGGACTGCCTCGCGCGCAGGCGCAAGGGTGGGGCCCCGGTAGGTGCTCGCTGCTGGCTCATGACCTCTTGATTGTGCGATTGAGGATGATGGTTGTCGCAGACTTGCTCTGCGCATTCGGAGCGCTCCTTTCCGCTGGGCCCGCAGCATCCACAACTACAGGTTGAGTCCTCGCGGTGGACCCCGCAGCGGCTCTGCGCAGATCCCTGTTCTCCTCTTGAAGGCGCTTGGAGACGGATGTCTCTCATCGGGGGGGTCCTTCCCCCTTTTCCCTTGCCTCCTCTCGTCTTCTGGCGGGTTCAGCCCCGCAGCCTCTGGGCGTCGTGGGAGTTCGCCCCCCCGCGTCTCCTCGGAGTCGGGTCTAGCTCGTCCCTCCTCTGTTCTTCCGGTGGGTTCAGTCCCGCAGCCTCTGGGCGTCGTGGGAGTTCGCCTCCCCGCGTCTCCTCGGAGTCGGGCCTGCCCCCCCCCCTCCCTCTCCCTTTTCTCCTTGGACAAGTCGGCAACCTCTGCGGGGGGGTCAGAGCCCGGCTCTCGTCGATAAGAGCTGCCCATTTTGGGCGGAGCCGGCGCCCCCAATCGACAAGAGCAGGCCATTTTTGGGCGGGGGCAACGCGCATCTCCGTCTTTTTTTTTCTTCCTCCTTCTTTATTCTCTCTCGCGTCGTCTCGCGTCGGGGGGGCCGATCTGTCGGCGCGCCAGGACCTGCGGGCAGTTGAGCCCTGCGGACTTGCGTCGAGCTCACATCGTCGCGCTTCCCCACAGGTACATATCGACACGCTCCTCTTCATCATTGTCTTATCTTTTCTCTTGCCACGTCGTCTCTCGCCGGGGGGGGGGGGCGTCGCGTCGAGCTCGCTGCCCCCCCGCAGGTGCATATCGACATGTACCTCATCCTTTTTCTCTTTACCTTTCCCTTCTCTAGTTCTGCTTTCACGCAGGTGTCAGTCGAGAGACGCTCCTTCAGCGTCGCTTCCTTTCTCGGTCGTTGTCGCCAGGTGCATTTCCTGTTCTTCTCCTACAAAGTGGTTGGCCAGCCCGCAATCTATATCCTGTTCTTACTGCGCTTTCAGGTGCCCATCGTGACGTCGTGCACACATGTCCATCTTGTGGCCCCTGCCCCCGTCCAGGTGCGCATTCTGACGCTTCTCTCCGACCGCCTCTTCTGGATTGCTGTCGCTGCGAGGTCTGCCCGGCCAGGTCTGCCCCATCTCCTGTTCTACTTCCGCCACCCGATGACGCGCGCGATCGCGCGTCGTAAGGGGGGGGCGGGGGGGGGCGTCCCAGGCCAGGCCGGCGGCGACGCCTGCAGACTCCTCTCTGCGCGTGACCCCCAAGGCGCACGCGTCTCTGCGGGGCGTCCTGCGGCCATGTGCCCTACGCAGGCGCCATCCCGCAGGGGGTGGGTATAGCAGACTGGTAGCATTGCCCGATCGCCCCTCTCACACCATCATCGTCATCATCATCATCACAAACATCATCATCATCGGCACCATCATCACCAGGATACTACTATCATCATCACCAACAGCATCATCATCAACCTCAGCATCACCACCATCATCAGGGCACCAGCGTCATCTTCTTCATCGTCAGCATTATCACCAGCATCTCATCATGTCATCATCATCAACAGCGTCATGATCATCAGCATCATTATCATCGGGTCACCATTATCAACATCATCGACATCAGCACCATCGACATCACGATCATCGGGACACCACCATCATCACCACCATGGCAGTCATCATCATCAACGTCGTCAACCTCATCATCATCATCAGCATCATCATCGGGACACCATCATCATCACCGCCATCACCATCATTTCATCATAATCATCATCGACATCATCATCATCATCGGGACACCGACGGGACACCGGCGGGAGACCGTCGGGACACCGCGCCCCACCAGCCCCCGGAAAAGAAACATTTGGTCCAGCGCGCCTCAGCCAGAGGCGGGACACCGGCGGGACACCGCGCCCCACGGGCCCCCGGAAAGGAAACATTTGGTCCCGCCGCGCCTCAGCCGGAGGAGGCTTTCTTCTCGCCCGCCCACGCAGCTTCGCCTCGCCCGCACACACGGCGCGCACGAACACGAAATCGAAACCGATTTCCCGGTAAGGGGTTTCTCCGTTCCACTTCGATCTCACCCCTTCACCTCCGATTCACCACCCACTACTCACTACTCACTAAACATTACTTTCTAACAACTACTCACTACTCACTAATCATTACTCACTAACCACTATCCACTATTTACTACAGAGTACTCACAATTCAGTACTCACTACTCACTGCCCACGAGTCACCACTCACTATCCGCAGCTCGCTACGCGCTACTCCCTACTCCTCCCTACTCCTTACACGATACCCACTACTCACTACTCGCTACTCCCTAGTCGCTATTCGCTACCCGATACGCAATATTGAGTACCAACTACGCACTACTCACCATTCACTACTCCCTACTCACTAATCACCATTCAGTACTCCCTACTCACGACTCACTACTCATTATTCTTTATTCGCTACTCCCTACGCACTACCCACTACTCACCACCCGCTTCCCGTTACTCACTATTCACTACTCGCTGCCCCCCACTCGCTATTCACTACTCACTACTGACAACTCCCTCCTCATTACTCACTACGCACAATGCCCTATTCGCTACTCACTATTCACTATTCGCTACTACTTAGTCGGTACTCACTACCCACTCCCGACTACCCACTATTCACTACTCACTATTCACTACTCCCTACTCACTACTCACTTGTCAATACTCACTATTCACTACTCCCTACTCACTCCTCAGTATTCGCTACGCACTACCCACTACTCACTACTCACTACTCTCTATAGATTGATTACTCACTACTCAATCCCGAGGCCAGACCCCCCCCCCCCTTGTGGGAGAGGCCCCCTCCGCGGCCCCCTGTTCGGCGCAAAGGGGGGGAGAGGGGGGGGCGGGACCCCCCCCTTTTCCCCCTTCAAGGGGGGGGGGGGGGGCGGCGGGGGTTTTCGGCCCAGCGCCGCGCCAGCTCGAGCCTCTGGAGCTCGGCCCTGCGCCGCGCCAGAGCCGCCGGGGCTCGGCCCAGCGCCGCGCCAGAGCCTCGCCACCAGCAGTTCCAGAGGTTCGCGCTGCAGGTGTCGAACCCACTTCGCTCCAACCGACCCCCCTTAGGGATGGAGGGGGGGGTCCGAAATCTCTCCTCCCCCTTTGAAGGGGAGAAGGGGGGGGTTTTGCGAGCACCCCCTCCTTTTCAATTACACGGTGATCCAGTGGCGCGCCTTCCGTCTTGGGACCCCCATGAGGCTCCCCAGAGGGGATTGACAGTGATCGTTTCGAGCTCCACGCCTTGTAGTTGAACTAGAGGCTCACCGGGGCCCCTCTTGGAACCTTCTGGTAGCTCTCTTGGGGCCTTCCTGAGGCTTCCACAGGCCGTCTTGGAAGCTCAGAACGGCCCCCAACGGGGTATTAGAATTTATCGTTTCGAAATTCACACTGAGGGGGTGGACCAGGGGCTCATTGGGACCCCTTTTGGAACGATGTTGTGGCTCTCTCGGGGCCCTCCGGGGGGCCGTTGGGGCATTGTTGGGGCCCCAAGACGCCCCAAGAGTACACAGGAAGTTATCGCGTCGAATGCTTCCGCGGGCGTTTTCCCGGTGAGCTAAGCTGTATAGGGGCGACAGGATGGCCACGCGCATGCGCCGAGTTCGCGCGTCTTACAAACGAGGAAACATAGTTTCTGCGGTGACACGTGATGGGGGCGCCCACAGGATCCGTGAGTCAACGGCTTTTTGGCAAACGGTATCGGTGTATGCGTGTTGGCCTCCTATCAGAGGCTCCTGCGCCTTTTGAGAGGTTTCCTGCGTCTTCGGGGAAGGCTTAGAAAACGTCTCAGAGGGCCTGGGAACTTCCGAGCCTTGTGAGGAGGCCGCCGCTCCTCACTTCCCCCCAGCGCTCGCCGCCGACAAGCACGCGCAGCGCCTGTCGGGCCTCGAGGCCGCCCTCTCGCGGCACCTGGGCAGGCGCTTTGCCTTCGACGCGCGCACCGCGATCCGGGACGACCACACCCCGGAGCTCCGCCTGCGGTGCATCGCAGACTTTGCCGCGGAGCACTGCAGGAAGGGCCCCGTGTCGGTCAAGCGACTGCGCATGCTGGTGCTCGATGACTTCCACGTCACCCCCTTCGGAACTTGGCACTGCGGCTCGAAGAAGATGGACTCTGCGCGCGCCGTCGAGAAGTACCTAGTGTCCCGCGTACCCAACCACGTTGACGCCCAGGTGCGGCTTATCCACACGTACGACGAGTGGACTACGGATACCGGCCTTGGTGTACAGATCGGTTGTGGGTTGACCAGCAGGCATTTCAACCAGGCCGTGGACTTCTTGGTGGCCGACAGCGTTTCGGGCAACGCGGGCGTTCTTTACGTGCCAGCGCATGGGCGGAAAGATGGCGGCAAGATGGTGACGGATAAGCGCGCAACTACGCGCAAGGCCAAGCCACCGAAGGACAGCCCCGAATGGGTGAGGAGGTCAGAGGCCTTCGTTCGCGCATTTGTCCACACTGGCCTACGTTGGGTGCCATGACGCCGAGATTCCCGCAGGCATCGTGCCAAACAGCAGACCACTTTGTGTCGTTGATGTGGTACGGCGTAGATTAACATGCTGTGCAGCGTCGGACAGCCTGCTAGTCACACTGGCAATCCCACCGCGTGTTCGGGCTGGACGCTCTTGGATGATTCGCTTTAAGTTTTGACAGCAGACATCTGCGGCTGGATACCACAGAGCTGCTGTCAGTGTTTCAATCGCGTGTTGCGCTCGCCCCGGGTCGGAAAAGGTTCAGAAAATCAGGTTCTGGCGGCAGAAGATTTTGCACGGCACAATCAACTAGTCAAAAGAGAAGTATATTGCAGTGCACACACGGGATACCACACGGGACGCAAGATTGGACACCATACGGGAGACCGTACGAGAGACCATGTGGGAGACCATACAGGAAACCGTACGGAGACCACACGGGAGACTACACGGCAGACCACACGGGAGACCGTACACAGTGTTGTGGCGGAGAAGGGAAGAGCGAAAGCAGGAGTCGAGCGCAGTTCGAGATTATGTTATCCGAATGTTGGTGCCATCAGAGTTTGGAACGAACCTCCGCTGGGGCGTGAAACCTTCGCGCGGCTGGTGGAGCTCAGTTTCATGCGGGCCAGCGCCACAGCCTATTGATGGCTGTCTTCCTCCTCGCGCGTGAGCGCAGAGCCCGCCATTGCGTAATCGAAGATGCCTACGGCGAACCACCATTGTCCCCTGCCTTCTGGAACCGCCCATGTGGCCAAACGTTGGGCTGACGTCTTGACAAGCTATTGGGAGACGTGTTCCCCCAGCCGGTGTGGAAACCCTCGGTGGACTACGTGTTGGAGGAGGAGGAGGAGGAGGAGGAGGAGGAGGAAGAGGAGGAGGAAGAGAGGGAGCAGGAGGAGGAGGAGTTGGAGGAGGAGGAGGAGGAGGAAGAAGAGGCCTCTTGGGGACCTCCTGAGGGCCTCTTTGGGGCTTCTGACAGCCTTTGAGGGTCTCCTGGGGGCTTCTTGGGCGCATCTGGTGGCCTGAAGGGGGCCTCTTGGCCTTCGGAGGCAGTCTTGGGCCCCGCTGGGCCGTCGTGGGGCCGTTTTGGGCCCCCGTAGGGCCATCTTGGAGGTCTGTGGCGCCGTATTGGGCCCCTCTTACGGCCGTCTTGGGAGCGCCTGTTGGGCTGTCTTTGGGCCCTCTTGGACAGCCTTGGACCCTCTTGGCGGCCTCTTGGGCCGTATTGGGGCCATTTGGGAGGCCTTCGGGGCCGTCTTCGGAAGCCCGAAATGGCGAGAACGCCAAACCATTGAAATACCTGAGGGAATCAATGATGTTGGCTTTCTGGAGGACTTGCTGAAGCCCTCTTAGGGCGTCTTGGGGGCATCCTGGGCCGTCTGGAAGGTATGTTGGGCCGATTTTGAGGTATATTGGGCCGACCTGGAGGTCATCTTGATTCTCTTCCGGCCGTCTTGGCTATATTTGAGGCGCTTCGGGACCATATTAGAGGCCATTTAGGGCGCATTGGAGGCATATTGTCGAGCGGCATGTATTGTCCGTACGGCTGTCGGGTGGGGCCCCCAGGCCACTGGATTTTTTTAGGCGAATTATCAAGACAGCAAAAGCATGCAGCAAGCCGTGCACCCTTTTGGTAAAGCTCATAGACGGCGGATCTAGTAGCCTTCGGTCCATCCCACGACCGTGTCAAGGTTGTAGGCCAGGCGCCTATTGGGTGTTTGTTGGGGTATGTGGGGATGCATCGCGGAGGCTTCGCGAGGGGGCCTTTGGAGCCTCTGGGAGGCCTCTTAGGGACCTCCTTGGGCATCTGAGGGGCCCATGTGGACACTTTGGGAGTATTAGGGAGGACTATCTTGGAGGGAAAGGCTTCCAGCGCCCCTTCGTGTTCTCCCTCGTGGGGGCTTACTGGGCCATCTTGGGGGCCTCTTGGGCCGTGGCTATGGTGCCGTATGTGAGCAATCGTGGGGGCCATTTGAGCAGTCTTGGGGTGGTGGAGGCCAGAACACGCGAGACCGCTACAACAAAAACGAATACCTGCTGAAATTAATTGATGCGTGCCCCTCGGGGCCGTAGTGAGCCCGTCATGAGCATCTTGGCGCGTTCTTGGGCAGTCTCGGAGTTTGTTTATACCATATTGGGGATGTGTTGGGGCCGTCTTGACAAGTCGTGGGGGCCTCTGGTTCCAGAAAAAGACATGGTACGCCCAACAAGTCTCGCGGGAAACCCCCGCGGTAGTCACTCAGCAAAGTTCAGATATTATGAGACGTTGGTTCACGGGCCCTTCTAAGAGCACCACATTTTTTGTGTAAAGGATTCTCGAGGATTGGAGGCATAACATTTGATGCATCGCAGCACGGTGGCGGACATTATCAATTCATCGCGGCGCGTGAGAGCCCCATTCCATTGCAGTTCAAGTGCGCGTTCTCATGCGGTCGGTGCATGGCGCGTTTGCGCCATATGTCATATATACAACCTTCAGTGTGGCCGCCTTGCCATCGGGTCCTTTTTTCTACGACTCTGGCACAACAGTATAAAGACACGGTTGTGCGTTCACCCTCAGAAGTTCTTTGACTAGGAGTTCTTGACCGCGCGTTCACGTGCTGTTCCAGCGTGAAGGTCGTGGTGATTCGATGTTATCACTTCTTAACGCAGCGAGTTTCCACCTTCTTGCAGCCCGAATTCGCTCCCAATATGTTTTGTCGCGTTAATGCCAGCTTAAATTTGCTACGTGCCCTCCTTCAGCTAGTCGGTTCCAAGGGATCTGCGCATACGTGTTTGCTTAGCGTCGTAGCTATGTATTCCAGAGTGGCGAACATGCCATCAGGGTAGTGGCAACAACAGGTGTACAGAACATGGAGCGGTACTTGTTTGGAGAAATTCGCACTCAGGCCCCTCATAGTGGCACATTTGTTTTTCTCTTGCCGCTGCATCGCCGTATGTGCTGAATGTCCGACCGCGCGTCCCGATGTGCATCTCAAGCACGCGCTGTTCCAAAGTGTTCATGCTGGCGACTCGAGTGCTCCACAAATTCGTTTTCGCAGCAGATCGTCATCCCATTGCAGCTCAAATGCGATCGCAAGAAGCATGGTCGCTGGTATGTCTTTTCATCTCGCCCACATCGTGGGTTGCACGGGATTTGCGCATAACGATCTAGTCAGCGGCATAGCTTATCCTCTCGATTGGCCAGCATGCCATCGATCTAACGGCTACGACAGTTGCACAAAGTGGTAGGGCTACCGTCATGTGGATATGCCTGGCGAGCGCAAAACATGCCGCTGCACCTCAGCATGCGTGGGTTCTCTCGCACTTGTTCAGATATAGAGTTGCCCCCTACGCTAGAGATGTGGTACGGAGGTGTTCAAGGGTGCTAGGGCGGTGATTGAGCGCGGAACATGGAAAGAATGTATGAGATATTGAATTGACGGTGACCTGTTGCACAACATGTTCTCTTCCTGGTGGACGGAGAGGAGGAGGAGGAGGAGGAGGACGAGGAGGAGAAGGAGGACGAGGATGATACAGCACGAGCACTCAGACGCGGCGTGATCGCTTCTACCAACGCCGGTGTAACGTAGACAAGGGGACGACGCTAGGCTTCTAGGTCGGCCTCGCGCGCGCTCGCAAATGGGCACGAGGCTCGGGAAGAGAAATATTCCGTCGACGACGACGACGACGACGACGACGACGACGACGACGACGACGACGACGTTGTCGACGACGAAAAAGGAGGCGGATAACGAGAAGTAGGAGGATGAGGAGGACCAACTTGTGGGGTTCCACTGGGACGCGAGGGTCTACTACGCGCTGGCCCTGCCGACACCGGGGTACGGTGGGCCAGGTCGAGGCGCCCCCTGCTTGGCTTGTCGCTTCGGCCAGCCAGTCCTTGCGACGGGTAGCCAATGACCCCGGCGAATGGACGGTTGCGGAGGACCTCTGGGCATTGCGGGGATTGCGGGAATTTTCGGATTTGCAGCATCCTTCACCAATATCGAGTGGTACGCCCTGGCGGCCAAGACCCGGGAGATGCACTTCCATGGTGCCTGCGCCCCCCAGGGGCGTTTTCCCGCTAACGTCGAACGATTGTTGGGGGCCCTGCGCGACCCACCGCGCGAGCACTCCCGCTCCGCATGGAACGATTGGTGCAGCCGCAGCTTCGTCTTGACCTTAGCCCAGGCTGAGAGCCAGCTCCTGCAGCCCCGCGCCACCGCGGAAGGATTGCGGCGATCGCACCCGGCGAGCGACCGACTTGTCGCCCAGGACAGGGCATGGCGGAAACAATACCAGCGAACGGTGTACGCATGTTTGGCGGCTCGTTCGGCACCAGAGCCCGCACCGCGGATTCGAACGAAGCTCCAGAGGTGGGTCTCGGAGGACAGGCGCCTGCACGCGCTCATTTTCGGCTGCGTGTAAGAATGCACGCGCGTTTGGGAAGGCCACCGCGAGTGCAACCTGCTGCAAGTCGTGGGCAGCCTGGCGCCGCCGCGGGTCCAGGCAGCAGCCTTTTCAATGCAACTCCATCGATGGGCCACAGCGCTGCGATTCCAGGGCCGTGCGCGATGTCGTGTCGGGTGAGCACCACTGCCGCGAGAGCGGTCTGCACAGCGTTCCACAGCAAGCTGCGCCTCGACCTGAACATTTTTTGCATTCTCCACATTTTCGTGCTGGTCAACCCTCGCGCCCGCTCCTAGGAAAAGCTGTCCAGTTTCGGCTGTGCCATGTACGGTGCGCACACAATCACAAACACGATGCGCCACCATTGGCGATGCGAGTTCGAGGCGGCGGTGGAGGCAATCACCCAAGCAGCACGTGAAAGGGCCAAAAGGCACAGACCGGCTCAGCGGACACTGCGAACGCGATGGGCAACGCCCCCAGAGGAAACGGCGATCTTTCCACCACCGTTGAGTTCTTTTCCCCCCCATGATCGAAGCTCTCCGGCGAGGATGCGTGGGGAACGCCACGGGGGCAGGTCAAGGAGGCTCCTTTCCCACTAAGCCACTGAGCGCTCGGGGGTCTGCTCGCCAGCCTGGGGCAGCACGAGGGCCTCCAGCGGCACCATCGCGAGCAGCATGACGGACCTCGGCATCACTTCGATGAGCAGCACGACGGAGCCCAACAGCACAACCAGGAGCTGCACGATGGACTACGGCGGCAACATGGGGAGCATCACGACGGACTCCAGCAGCACCATGGGAACCAGGACGGGCTCCAGCAGCACCACCGCGGGCAACACCTCGGATTCCAGCTGCACCACCTAGGGCATCACGAGGGCCTCCAGCAGCACCTTTGGGAACAGCACGACAGCCCTCGACATGACCTGTGAGCAGCACGACCGACCCCAGCAGTACCACAGTGAGCAGGACAGACTCCAGCAGCGCCACCGGGCGCAGCACGCAGCCCCGCGACACCACCGTGCGCAGCACAACGAACTCCGGCAGCATCAGCGGGGGCAGCTCGACGGAGCTCAGCAGCACTGCCGTGAGCAGTACTACGGAAGCGTACATCACCATCGTGGGCAGTACGGCGGCCTCGTGCAGCACCACCGTAAATTGTGCAGATACCAGCAGCACCAACGTCAGCAGCACGACGGACTCGTGCAGCACTATCGTGAGCAGCACGACGGACTCGTGCAGCACCACCGTGAGCAATGCGACGCACTCCAGCAGCCCCATCATGAGCAGCACGACGGACTCGTGCAACACCATCGAGAGCAGCACGACGGACTCCAGCAGCACCACCGTGAGCAGCAGGACGAATTCCAGCAGCACCGCGGGGGCAGCGCCGCCACCAACAGCACCAACGACAGGCCTCAGCATCACGTTTGTGAGCAGTTCGACGGAGCCCAGCAGCACCACCGTGAGCAGCACGGACCCCAGCAGCACCAGCGTGAGCAGCAGGACGGACACACCACTGGGGGCAGCACAAGGGCCACCAGCAGCACTTAAGATGGGCCTCAGCATCACCCCTATGAGCAGCTCGAGGGAGCCCAGCAGTACCACCGTGAGCAGCACGTCGGACTTCAGCAGCACCACGGTGAGCAGCACGCACCCCCGCGACATCACCTTGTGCAGCAGGGCGGACTGCAGCAGCACCTCCTGGGGCAGTACGCCGGGCTCCAGCAGCACCATCGTTGGCAGCACGACGGACTTCTTCATCACCTGACTTCTGTGAGCAGCACCACTCAAACGACGCGAAGATCGGGACAAACTCGGATCGGGATAACTCGAAATCTCTGAGAATCGGCGGGTTTGGAGGATGTATTGGGCGCCGCGGCCGCTCCAGAGCTTTCCGGAACGCTCTGAGAGCGCTCTGGAACGCGATTTATCCCTATCCTAGCTTTGTTTTAACCACGGAGCCCAGAAGTACCATCGTGAGCCACACGACAGACTTCAGCACCATCGGGTGCAGCTCGGCGGACTCCACCTGCACCATCGTGAACAACAGGACGGACTCCAGCAGCGCAGTTGTGGTCAGCACGGGGTCCAGCAGCACCAGCGTGAGCAGCAGGACTGAGTCCAGCAGCGCCGTTCGGGGCAATTCTGCAGGTTCCAGCAGCGCCAGGGTGAGCAGCACGACGCTCCGTGGCCAACGGCTCACCGCACTCCAGCACCATCGTGCTCTATACGACGGACTCCAGCAGCGCAGTCGTGTTCGGCACGGACTCCAGCAGCACCAGTGTGAGCTGCAGGACGGACTCCAGCAGTACCACCCATGGTATAAGTCGGCGGACTTTAGCAGCACCATGGTAATAAGCAGCACGACGGTGCGTGGCCAACGGCTCACCGCACTCCACCACCATCGTGGCCATCACGACGGACTCCAGCAACGCGGATTCCAGCAGCACCAGCGTGAGCAGCAGGTCGGGCTCCGGCAGCACCACTGGGTCTTTACACCCAAAATGGCGGCATATTTGGCCATCTCAGTCAGAGCGTACAGTTGGCAACAGTTTGTTTTAGTTGCGTGTAGAAAGTTGCATGGGGACTTAGCACTTGACTTGGTGGTACTGGGTGCTGGGTGCCAGGTGCTGCAAACGTGGCAGTTGAAATGTTCAGCGAGAGATCCCGCCGGCACTTACAAGTCCCTCCGCTCCTCCCCCCACTTCATCCGCGGTGTCTCGCTTTGTACTTGCCGATGTTAGGCTTCGATGATTTGGCAGCGGCGCGCGATACGCTGGGCCGAGATTCTGCGGCCCCCTCCTGCATCTGCTGCTGTTGCTGCTGCTGTTACTGGTTTGCCTGTGGTGGGGTCTGGTCCTCCCCCCTCTCCCTCCTCTTCCTCCTGCCCTCCCTCCCTCCATCTCTCCTTCCCTGTGGTCCTCCCTCTCCCTGCGCTTCCTTCCCTTCCTCTCCCCTCCCCTGGTGGTTCCGCTCGCTCCCTCGCCCGTCTGCCGTGGCACCTCTCATCCGCCGCGGTGGTCCTCGTCCTGCTGCTGCTGGGCCCTGGCCGACTCCAAGGACTCCCCGCTGCTCTCCCGATTTTCCCGTCGGTGTCACTTCTTCTGTTTGTTTACTCTTTGGCGGCGTTCCGCCGCAGCGGCATACCCCAAGGCTCGGAAGATTATTCAATCGCTTCGCTCATTCCGCCGGCCCATTTCGCATGACTGAGCCTCTTGGGGCCGCTGGGGGGCCTCTTCAGCGTCGCTTGGGGGCCTCCTGAGGGCCTCTTGGGGGCTTTGGGGGCCTCTCAGGGGCCTCTTGAGGCCTCCTGGGGGCTTCTTAAGGCCGAGGGCTCAAAGTTTTGTTTTGTGCTCCCCCTTTGGGGCATCACTTGGGGCCCTCTTGGGCCCCTCTTGGGCCGTCTTGGATGCCTCTGGGGCCGTCTTGGAGCCCTCTTGGGCCATCTTGGGGCCTTCTTGGGAGCTTCTTGGGCCCTCTTGGGGCGATCTTGGGGGCCTCTTGGGCCGTCTTGGGGCGTCGGGAAGCCGAAAAGATGGACACGCCAAAATCTGCCCAAAACCTAAGGAAAAGTAATGATTTTTGCCTCTTGGGCCCTCTGGGGAGTGCTTTTGGAGGCCTCTTGGGGCGTCTGGGGGCCATCTTGGGCGTCTTGGAACGGTCGTGTGGCATCTCGGAGCACTCTTGAACCATCTTGGAGGGCTCTTGGCGGCCTCGTGGCCCTTCTTGGGGCTCTCTGGAGGGCCACGGGGGCGGCGCCCAGGAGGAAAACCATCTCTGACCCGACCCTGCCGGGGATCGCGCGGGGTACTTTTCGTCCGGGGACCCCCAGGGGCCGCCCCGCGCGCGCGAAGTAGAAGTATTATTTAGCAGTTACCGGAGATCTTAGCACGCCTCTGGCCCGTTGGGCCGGCGAATTTCTGCTGGCCTGCGGCCTACGGGTCGGCTTGGGTCCGAGGTGAGGGCGTGATGTTCCACCGAGCCGCGGGGCACTTTTGCTCATGCAGGCCGCGTGGTCAGCTGGAGGCCCAGCCGTGCGTCGACTTGATGTTTCCCTTCCTCTCCTCCTCCTCCTGCCCTCCTTGGGCGCGTTTGTTGTACATATATATATATATACACACATATACATAAATATATATGTATATATATATATATACATATATATGTGTGTATAGCACCCCGCAATTGCGGATAAGAGTGCGGGGGCGGGCGCGGGCGACGCGGGCGTCGTCGAGCCGGCGAACCTCGTGGCCCCCAGCTTCCTTGTCGATGGCGCTCTCCTCCTCCTCCTCCTCCTTCTCCTCCTCCTCTTCCTCCTCTTCCTCGTCCTCGTCCTCATCGTCATCGTCATCCTCCTCCTCCACCTCGTCCTCCTCCTCCTCTTCTTCCTCGTCCTTCCTCTCTCCCCCTCGTCCTTTCATCATTGTCCTCCCATTGTCGTCCTCCCCCTCATCGGCCTCCATCATCGTCCTCCCATTGTCGTCCATCATCATCATCATCATCCTCCCCCTCCTCCCCCTCCTCGTCCTCCTCCTCCCCCTCCTCCCCCTCCTTGTCCTCCTGCTCCTCCTCCTTTTCTTTCTCCACAGTCTCCTTACATCCTCTCTTCTTCCGCGTTCTCCTCGTCCCCTGTTTACTCCTCCTGCCTCCCCCTCCTTTCCCAAGATAACTGCAACGCAATCCTTTTTTCCACTTTATGCTCCCCGCCTCTTCTGATCAAGGCAACTCGCCAGGGCAAAGTTGCTGGACGGGCTGGTGTGGATGCGCGGGGCTTGAAGAGGTCGTTGCGGGCTCAGACGGCATGCAAAAACCTGACCGCACAAGAACGGGAAGCGCCGTTTTTGCTCATAGCAGTGTTTGTCGTCAAAGCTCTGGACGCCAGCGTTCGTACTGGGAGCTCTGGCGTTCGAAGCTGCCCACGTCATCGTTCGTAATGGAGCCTTGGGATGTCGTGGTCGGTCTGTCGTAGGCCTCTTACAAGCAATTCTGAAGCCTCTTGGGGGCCGTTTTTTGGGGCCGTCTTGGGGGCCTCTTGGGGGCCTTTTTGGGGCCTCTTGGGGGCCTCTTGGAGCGTCTTGGGGGGCTCTCGGGGGCCTCCTGGACCCTCCGGGGGGGCACTTGGGGCCGAGGACCCGAAAAGTCCGTTCGTGTACCTCGTCTGGGCCCCCTCTAGGAGCCATATTGACGGCCTCTTGGGCCGCCGCGAAGCCTCTTGGGGCCGTTTTAGGGGCCGCCTTGGGGCCTTCTGGTGCCTTCTTGGGGCCGTCGTGGGGGCCTCTTGGGCCGTCTTGGGGCGATCTTGGGGGTTTGTTGGGCCGTCTTGGGGCGATCTTGGGGGCCTCTTGGGCCGTCTTGGAGCGTCGGGAAACGGAAAAGGCGAGAACCCCAGAAACCTTCAAAAACTATTCAAAAATCATAGAAAATTAAGCCCCTGAACCAACGGTGCACGCCGGAGGCGCTTCGACTTGGGGCCATCTCCGCTTCTCTTGGAGCGCTCTTGGGCTGTCTTGGGGCCTCTTGGGCGCCTCTGGGGCCGTCTTGGAAACCTCTTGGAGCGCTCCGGGGCCGTCGTGGAGGTCTCTGGAGCCGTCCTGGGCCGAAAAAGCCGCCAACTTGGTCCCTGGAGGGTGTGTCTTCGGAGCCTTGGTGTGAAGCGTTTTTTACGTTGCCGCTCGCTCTGGGAGCCCTGGTGTCGAGAATTGTTCGCGTCACCGTTCGCTCGCCGGAGCCTTGATGTCACGAGCTTGTCACGTCACTGGTCGCTCTTGGGAGCCTTGGTGTGGAGAGCTTTTTGCGTTACCGATCGCTCTATCATGTGGCGTCTATGGGCCTTTTTGGGGGTCCTTTTGGGGGCCCTTTGGGGGCCCTCTAGGACTGTCTTGGGGCCCTCTTGGGCCGTCTTGGGGCCCTGTTGGGCCGTGTTGGAGACTCTTGGACGCCTTTGGCCGTCTTGGGGCTCTCCTGGCGGCCTCTTTGGGCCCTCTTGGGTGGCTCTTGGGGCTCTCCTGGGGCTCTCTTGGGGCTGTCTTGGGGTCCTCTCGGGCCGTTTCGGGGCCCTTTTGGGCCGTGTCGGGGCCTTTGAGGGCTCTTTGGGGCCGTTTTGAAGGCCTCCAGGAGCGACTCGAAGATAATGCCGGTTCGGAGTTCTCTCCGGAGCCGATTTTTCGAGGATGTCTCGAGCGAAACGGTCATTTTTCCGCAATTTTCCAGAACCTGACCGGACAAGAACGGGAAGCGTCGCTTTTGCCCACTAGGTGTGCGAAATGTGCTCTGTTGTGTTG